CTTAACCGACTGCGCCACCCAGGCGCCCCTGTTTTTTTTTAATTTAAAAAAGAGGAAGGGGCAAAGATGTATAGTGATAAACCATTCAGCAATTTAAAAAGATACCAAATTTATTCAAATGTCTCTGAATCCTACAGTGCTAGCGATTAACAAGCCTCTATATTGTTCATACTAAATGATGAGTCATTAGATCTTATGAATAAAAAATGATCATCACCTGATACAAGGCTATGATTACATCCTTAAAATATAGTTGTTAAGAAAATCTATACCCCAACTATGCTTTCTAAATATATTTTCAAAGTTTAGTAACAAAGGACTCTGCAGAGGTAATTACATTCCATTTCTTTTTAAAAAGGTAACTGGAGAGAAAGGATGATTAAAGCAAGGAACCACATTAAAATTTAAATATACTAGCATCTTTGTAGTTAAAGGAAAACTATTTGCTTTTCCAGCTATGAAATATGAGGACCATCACCCTCTGCCCTCACCCTCTCCTCTGCCTTCAGGTCCCTTCCTCCAGCCTCATGTCCATCCAAGAGGCACAGGCTCACAGCACAACCCCCAGGGCTATATTAGCAGGTCCCTATCCATAATTCCTTCTGAGTCTCAAACTCAGAGAACATTAGGTCTGGAAGAGGCCTTAGAGACTGCTAAATCCAACCCCTCACTTCAGAGATAAGCAAATATCCAGACAGGCCAATTGGCTTGTCCAAGGTCACAGAGCAAATTAACACCTGAGTTGAATGAGTAAGTCTCTTCATTCTTATTCCATTGTTGCTTTCACTATACCATGTCTTGCTGCTGAGAGAAGACATGGTATGAGATGTTTTCTGTACCCTAGAGCTAGGCAGGACACTCAGATGCCCTTGAGCACCAAGCCCCGTGTGAGCCACTGAGAGGCTTGGAGGTCCTTGGACCTTACCTCCTCCTCCCGGAGTTTCTGCTTCCTCTTCTCTTCCACAGCAGCCCTCTTCTGATCCTCCCGCTGCCGCTGCTCTTCCAGTTTCCGCCATCGTTCTTCAATTTGCTTTTCATACTGGAGCTTAGCTCTTTTCTGTTTCTCCAGGATTTGCTGCTCCCGGGCAGCTGGGGGAAGGAAAGCAGAAGAGAGGTGTCATTACCAGAGCACCCCATGCTGTTTGGATTAAGACCAAAATGTAGATACAAGACTGAGACCAAAAAAGCAGCCCAGTGGGATTCTAGGCTACAGTGACTGAGATGAAGGGTTCTGGCATGTCTGCCACTAGCTGGGTGACCCTGAGCATGCTAACCACATAATCCTCTTCTGTGAAGTGGAGACCATCATGTCCGCAAAATCACAATGTTGTGAAGATTAGATGAGGCAATGCACGGAAAGTGCACAGTAACTGCCCTACACATGGAAGCTACAACTATTGCTATCATTAAGTGAGACTTGCCACAATGGGCAAGCCATACACTAGGTTGAGAAATGAGTTCTAAGGGTACATACACTAAAAAACATGTTAACTATGCATTTCTCATAATTAAGACATTGACCTAGGCAAGGGGGTATAAACTCAAGACACTCCTCTCTCAAGACATTTCCTAAAACTATCTACCTGGCTGTGTCAGGGAAGGGTTCCCTGGGAGATGCAATGTGTGAACCAACCACCAGGAGGCAATCAGGAATTTGAAAGCTCATTTGTCTCAATTCAGTGGGGAAACCACTATTTACCTACCTCCCAGTACCCTGTGGGGAATACATAATACACTTCTGTCTATAGCTTGCAAGAGGTAAGACAGCTTTTCTCAAATGGGTTCCCATTCTAACACAGAAAATGTCTTAATTGCTTATTTTCTCAGTTCTGATGATGGCCTTTCTAGATGCCCTAGAGAGAGCATAAGTGAGGGCACATAATGGATGCCTGAGGGGGCAGGGTCAGTGATTGTTTCTCATTCTTTACCATCTTATCCACAGTCTCTAGCAGAGTATCTAGAACACAGCAGAAGTTCAATGTTTGCTACATAAGTGTAGATTTACCCCCCAGTTCTTCATGTTCATCTAGCAATTGTCCTAGCTCTCTTCCCATTCAGTCATAAATTCCTAAGGATCTTCAGAAAACACACCACCACATCTTTATGCCTTTGTACATAAATAGCCAAAGGACACAACTTACCAAGACATTTTTCTCTCTCTTCTCGTCTTTCTTTAGCTAGTCTTTGTCTCTCATCAGATCTTAAAAATCCATCCATGCCTATAAAAAATATAACATGATGAAATTATTTTTCCCTCTTTCCCTATCTGGTGAGGGTGAGGGGCCACTGGTCCCACACCCTGGGTCTGGCCATACACATACATCATCCATCACCATCACATGGGGGCCCAATCCACCATTCCCCACCACACACACATACACACACACACACACACACACACACACACACACGGCCAGGCCCTGAGAGCTGAGGGGTGACAGTCACAGCTTCACACTCACCCACCAAACTGCTATAGTGGCCCCAATACCAATCCTGGAGAACCACGCCCTTTCCCTAGCCCTCTGTCCCCAGGACTGGCCCTGGAGGGAGTCAGAAAGTGCTGTTAAGTGCCAAGGAGGTCTGGCAGTGTGCAGAAAAGCACACCAGGCCTCCCTGAGCCTGGCTCCCGGGGAGATGAGAAGCACAAAAGTGGACACAACTATTACACAGATAGTGAACATTCTATTTTCTGAAGGGAGCCAACTGCTGAGGGACATGTACAAGCTCCTTGAGTAAGCACTGAGAAATACAACATTGAATTTTGACTTTGGGTTCTGTTAAATATGTTCCAATGTCAATCTTAGTATTTTATTTTTTTTACATTTTTTAAAACACTTATTTATGTGTGTGTGTGTGTGTGTGAGAGAGAGAGAGAGAGAGAGAGAGAGAAAGAATGAATGAATGAATGAATGAATGAATATGAGTGAAGGAGGAGCAGAGAGAGACAGGGAGACACAGAATCTGAAGCAGGCTCCAAGCTCTGAGCTGTCAGCACAGAGCCTGATGCAGGGCTCAAACTCTTGAACTGCGAGATCTTGACCTGAGCTGAAGTCACATGCTTAACTGAGCGAGCCATCCAGGTGCCCTCAATCTTAGTATTTTAGAATCAGAAAAAAGAAATATAATGTGCTCCTGTTTGTCATTTAAATACCTACAACAAATAAAATGGAATAGATGACAGCCCCCCTCCACACCCCCTGACACAAAATGTCCAGGAAACAACCTAGGAGCTCTGCATCTCTACCCATCTTCTACAGGATCATAAAGAGCTTTTTGAATCAAAGACCAAATGATCTTTATGGTCATTTTAGGATTAGAAATAATTTACTGCACTCAGTCACAATCAATCATTCAGGAGCATTACTTATATAATGTTCAGGCACAACATCTTAGAGAAATCAGCTTCTGTGTTAGTACAACCAGATTCACTTTCATGGTGCCTAGACCCTCCTTTCTGGTAATATCACATGCTGACTTTATTGTGTGCCTTGCTGCCACAGTTACTGCACCCCTTTTGGAGAGGTTCCTGTGACTGTCCAGGGGAAAGACCTGGAGACTTGGACTCAGTGTAGGTAGGAAGAATACAGACAGGGATGGATGTGATAAACACCAGATTGTCACAACTTCCCATGAGCATCTGATTTTGCAACCTGGATTATGTATCAGGCATACTGAAGCTCAAGACTGAAATGCTAGAAAATCAACCTGGACTATAAGTACCATTACCCATGTTTGTTTTTAGTCAACTTTTTTTTTTAAATGTTTTATTTATTTTTGAGAGAGCATAACCAGGGGAGGGGAAGAGAGAGAAGGAGACACAGAATCCAAAGCAGGCTCCAGGCTCTGAGCTATCAGCACAGAGCCTGATGCAGGGCCTGAACCTGAACCGTGAGGACATGACCTGAGCCGAAGTCAGGCACTCCATCAACTGAGCCACCCAGGTGCCCCATGTTTTTATTTAGTCAACTCTTAATAATTATGATGCTACCAACAACATGATCATCATCAAGAATTTGAAGGCCCTACAGAGAACAAACTGAGGGTTGATGGGAGTGGGGGGTTGGGGAAATGGGTTATGGGCATTGAGGAGGGCACTTATTGGGATGAGCACTAGGTGTTGCATGTAAGTAATGAATCATGGGAATCTACTCCTGAAGCCAAGACTACATTGTATGTTAGCTAACTTGACGATAAATAAAAAATAAAAATAAAATAAATTGAGGACACTAATCTAAAAAGAATTTGAAGGTCCAATTTCTTAGATCATCATTGCTGGGTCCCCACAGTCTGCTCTCAAACTCTCTTCCCAACTTGACCTCAGCACTGGCCCTTTCTTCCACACACCTTCTAGCTCAAAACACTCTTTCTCTCACATCCTCCTTGTACCTATTAAAACCCCACCCACCTTCAAGATCCCACAGTTCCCCAGACCCCATGATGCTCTGTGCTCCCACACAGTTGGCAGAACCCTCATTTCATTCTTCCTGGCTGCAGAGTTCTCCTCTGACTCAGTCTCCCTGGGAGGAGGGAGAGGCTATGGAGGCAAGGGTGGCTTATGTATTTCTGGGTCACCTCAGCTCAGGGCACTGTCCCCCAATAGTGCCCCTGAGGTGTACATACAATGCTCAAAGGTAGGCATGTAGTCAGTGAAAGGGAAACAAAACCAGGTTTCTCTTTTCTCTGGCACTTTCAGGCTCTAATATCTCCCTCAAGAGTTTAATTAATAAGAATTTTTCTGTGTGAAAAGTTACAAAGAGAAGCTTAGGACCCCTGAACAGATGCTTGTTTCTGTCAGCACCTATATCAACCTGTCCATCCTAGAGGGAACTAACTTTACTCTATTGCCCATGCCACCTTTCACATGTTTATGGGCCTGCCCTCTATCTGAGGTACAGCCAAAGAAACACTGAAAATGTTCTTCAAAAAGAAGAAAAAAACCTGAAGGTTTAAAATGGCCAAGCACATTTGGAACTGGCCACATTACCCAGAGGCTTTACAAACAGAAGTCACTCTGTTCCTGGGATATGCATGATTTTAGGCTTCCCCCTTGTGGCCACTTGTAAGAGTCACAGCTACAAATCATTTCCTTTCCAGAAAATCTTCATTATGCTCATAGTCATCATCATGTGCTTCATAGTAGGAGGTGACGCAGTTCCTATGCACTTCTTGGATTTACTTGGCTCAATCACCCTATGACGGAGGTAATCTATTTCAACCCTCATAGGTTCAGAAATGGAGGCACAAAGAGGTTAATTAACATGTCTGAAGTCACACCATCAAAAAGTGGAGAAGCCAGATCCCAACCGAAGAATCCGACTCCAAGACTCACACTCTTAATTACTGCTTTACTGCTAAGGAAGAAATGTAACAACTTGATCTCCATGCCCATGAACGAAAGCTGTGACCCAGTATCACACACAGGGAAAAAAAAATCTCATCCTTGTCCCAGGACTAAGCCTGCAAATGTGGAGAGAGGTATAAATCTAACTCATCAGAGAAGTATCAAGTAAGCACTGCTGTGAGCCAAGCACTGACTGGCTGGGCGCAGATCTGGCCACTGCTCAAGCAGACTAATTATTTGCTTCCTCTTCAAACTAACGGTTTGGAAATGTTTTAGAGAGGCTGATGCTGGGTGGGTAAAGGGAGTAACCAGAGAATCCTGGAGACAACTATGAAAAGCAATTCTCCTTTGGCCTGAGGAGGGTGAAGTGACTCAAACAGTCCAAAATGGGTAAACTAGAGTCTCTGTACAGTCACACGGCAGCCACAAGCCACATATGACTACTTCACTTTAAAATAATCAAAGTTAGGGGCGCCTGGGTGGCTCAGTCAGTTAAATGTCTGACTTCAGCTCAGGTCATGATCTCACAGTTTGTGAGTTTGAGCCCTTGCGTTGGGCTCTGTGCTGACAGCTCAGAGCCTGGAGCCTGCTTTGGATTCTGTGTCTCCCTCTCTCTCCGCCCCTCCCCACCCTTGCTCTCTGTCTCTGTCTCTCTCTCAAAAAATCAATTAACATTAAAAAAATTTTTACATAAATAAAACAATCAAAATTAAATGCAATTAGGGGCTCCTGGCTGAGTCAGAAGAGCATGTGACTCTTGATTTTGAGGTTGTGAGTTCAAGCCCCATGGTGGGTGTAGAAATTACTTAAATAAATAAACTTAAAAAAATTAAATGCAGTTAAAAGTTTAGTTTCTCAGCACACTGGCCACATTTCAGGTACTCACTAGCCACATGAGGCTAGTAGCTATCATACTGGACAGCACTTAAAAGAGAAGTCTGGCAGCTCCCTCCTGTGATTCTCTCCCTTAACACTTAGCTACTCTGGGACACATGGATAAGGGAGATCTCAGAGTTCTATCAGGGTTGAGTTTTGCTGAATAATTGAGACTGGGTTAGGGCCTCATTCCTCCACACAGCATCAGCCTCTCCTGATTACAAGAACTGTCAAGCAATCATTTCTAGAACATTCATGTGAAGAGAAGCCAAATAATTAACTCATATCTCCATCTTGTATCTTGTAACTTTCCATGACCCTGCAGGAGCCCCAGCTGAGAGGCTCCAGGCTTATCCTGGGGTAGAGCATGAACCACACAGCCCCTTTTTGTTAGGGGCCATGGACTTAACCAGTTATTACCATTAGTGCAACACAGTCAGAGGAATCAAGGCAGATCATGATTAACACAGCAAAGGCAATTAATACACAAACATTAACAATACCAAGAGACCTCCTCTAAAGTCATGGTATACTTATAGGTTAATGCTGAATTTGGTTCCTAAAAGTAGCCTTCTTCCTGTATGGCCTGAAACCTTAAAGTGTTTATAGTTTTCTTACTGAATCAATCATCCTTTGTCCGTTGTACCTTGTACTATATGCATATCCTTGTCTCTCTTTTATTAAACCAGAGACCTAATTTTATCTCTGAACCCCATGAGAACAGATGGAGAATAGAACTTGCCAGGGGGTAGGGAAGAGGGGCAGAAGGGAGGAAGTAGGTGGCTACAAAAGGGCAGCATGAAGGATCCTTGTGGTAATGGAAATGTCCTCTATTCTTAACTGTACCAGTGTTACTGACCTTGTCGGGATAGTATACTGCAGTGTTGCAAGTTAGTGCCATTGGGGGAAAGTGGGTAAAGGGTACCTGGGATCTCTCTGTAGTATTGCTTATAACTGCATGTGAATCTACAGTGACTTCAAAACAGAAAGTTTAATTTAAAA